GAGAAGAAGATATACATATATTACCAACAGGTATAGGTCAACTAATGAGAGTGAGTATTGATCTAATGATGTACACTATATAGAGTCTGTTGATGAATTGAATAAGAAGTTAGAGACACAATATGCAATTAGTAGAAGAAAGACAATGGAGATTGAGGACTTAAAGGCTACCATGAGACAAAAAGATGAAAAGATGATTGGTAAGAAACTAACTGGTAATCAGTGGGGAGGCTTTATTTGTGTATCAATGATTATTATTATTAGGAGGATAATCATCATGTGTGTGTCAATTTTTCTTAAGTTATGAAATTCTTGATTTAATTTCTATAGATACTGAGAAGGAGCTAACATCATTGAAGGAACTTTCAGAGACTAGACTACAAGAAATAGAACAACTGAAACTGAAACTTAAAGACAATAACAGCAAGAGTATGTATAATACATTAAATACAACATTAATTTAATATTTATTATATTATAAGGATTACAAGTACTTGTTGAAGAGACATTAGAGACAATTAAAGATGAATCATCTGATGATGACACATCAAGTACATGAACGAATAAATGAATATTTATTATATTAATAATCATACAGGTGTAATGAAACCTGATGATAAATCACTAACAGTAAATTGTGAGTTGCACTATACAAATTTGCTGTTGTATATGCATTGTAATTGTAATGATACAACATAACCCACTGCATTGTCAGTGTGTGTGGGTGTGTGTTAGTCTCCCATAGCCAGACCACACCCTTCGTGTGTATGTATGTATGTCACCAATAGTTTATTATTTTAATAATAAATATTAATTTCAATCAATACTTGCATTAATTGACTAGTTGTGTGTTTATTATTAGTACAAGAGGATGGAGTGATGACATGGAGTCAGTATCATGTATGTCTCAGTAGACCATCAGTAGATCTATGTAAGGAGGTAATCAGTAAACTGAAGGAGAAACATAGGTGCATTTTACTCAACTACCCATCATCTGACAGTATACAGGTCCTAATACCAACTGTATTGGAGAGAGGAACAATAAATGACCTTAATATATACTACTCATTATTATCACGTGATGATGTCCTCTCATTCTCTTCTCAACTATCAACCAACAAATCATTAACAACTCTAACCCTAACTACTGGTTCAATGAGTGATGATGGAGTCATTGCACTAGCACAATCACTACAATATAATAAAACACTTCAATTCTTATATCTTGAATTCAATCCTGGCATCACTTCAGCTTGTGCTCAGTCACTGGCCGAACTTTTACTCACTAACAACACACTTTATGAACTTAATCTCCACCATACTAACATTGATACTGATGGAGTAATGATACTAATGGAATCACTCAAGACCAATAATACACTATGGAAACTCTGGCTAGACAAACAACATGAAGAACCTTGTTCTACTTTACCTTATTATGAGCATATTAGAGACAGATTACATTTTGTGTAAAGATAAGAAAATATATTATAAAATCAGACCCTAACCTTGTCATACTGTATAATATTTATGCTGCTGTAGTTTCTTTGAGTTTTATTTTTACCATTTTCATGTTTCATGTATTAATATTATTGAGCCACGCCCTTTATTTGGAGGCTGGCCACGCCCTGTTTTTCTAATGGCAACTTCCTCTTTTTCTCCCCTATCATCTGAAGATATCATGTATTTAACAAACATTACCAAGTCCTCTCTGACTCTCTCTGTGATCCTGTCAGTGTAACCAGACTATTGTATGGAGAACTAGTAATAAAAGGACAGATACTAAGCAATGTTGAATCAGCTAGTCCCTCCATCACTACTGAAACAACGGAAGGACTCTGAACTGCTAAAGGGACTGAGAGAGGTCCTTGTTGGTAATGACAACAACCTACAAACATTTGCTAGTGTATTGTGCAAGTTCACTGCTAATGTTAAACTAGGAGAAGCTATACACAAAGATTATGGTGA